TGAAATGAAAAATCACCCTTTGCATCTTTTAGAAGGTTCCACAGAGTGGTTTTTGCATGCTTTCTGCTGTTCTGCTAAATGTAATGTGAGGGTTGGAGGTAGTGCTTAAAAGTTGGGCGTGTGTTTGAGAAAGGTGCAGGGGTGGTGGTTCTCTTAAGGAATGAATAAAGAAAAAATAAAGAAAAACAAAGAAAAAATGAAAGCAAAAGAGAGCCACCACCAAAATTTTGAATAGTGTCCATTAAGTAGTGTTTCCTAGCAGTCTGGCTTGGAAATGCTAGTAGTTATATAACCTCCTTCGCTCTTGTGCCCTAAAGAATTTGATTAATGCAGAATAGCAGGACGAAAGTTACTGGTTTGCTTGATTGTGGTTTTGTTGGGTTTGGAATTGTGGAACCTTGTGCTATAACTGCCACCACCTAAAAGGCCTTTTCCCCATGTCCAAGACCCTAGCCAGTCATTTGAACCTGTGTCTAAGACCTCCGGATTAGTTAGTGGTGACACCCCCCTTATGCGAACTCTAGCATTTAGAGGCTGCATGCATGGTGAAGAGACGTTAGGGATTGAGAGAAGAAGCATGCGCATTTTTCGCATCAATTTGTCCTGACCCCACTGGTCGAGAGTGAGCGATTCATTTTCTCATTTTCTCTATACTCTTTACCCTGGTGAGGACCTAGATTGCTCGGTCTTAATTCTGATATCTTGAGCTTTGTGCATGAAGTGACTGTTTTGAACAAGCGATTGAGTCAAGTCTACGTTGGTTGGTGAGCAGGAAAGAACTCTTCCTTTGCTCAACTTTATTGCATTCGAATGTCATCTGTGGTAGTTGTCTAGGTTGTCGTTCGAGTTGCCATGTGTTGATGATCGAAAGCCAGTATGATCCACGTGTTTTATGCCGATATGATTTGCCCTTAAGCCTGCTTGATTGAAATATCTCAAGCTTACCTGGTGTCTGCCTTGGTTTGCTTAGGGACAAGCAAACGGTTAAGTGTGGGGGAGTTTGATAACGATATAATTACTTGATTTTATACCCCTATTTCTTATCCATTTGCGGAGCATGGTTGTGTGTTTTGGCCTATTTTACGCCGGGTTGTGCTACTTTGTCCTATTTCAGGTCCCAGGCGTCAAAGGGAAGGCCAAGCACGAGTTTCGGATCGTTTGGAAGTCGTTTGGACAAGCCAGGGCCAAAACACGGGCAGGAGGCCCTCAGAACACGGCCGTGTTCCTGACCGTGCTTTTATGGCCGAGACTTCCCAAGGGTGGCTTGAACCACCTAAAAACACGGGCAGGCCTGAGGAAAAACACGGTCGTGTTTTGCATTGAACACGCCCGTGTTTTCAGGATGCCCGTGGCCGTGCTTTTAAGCCAGATGCAAAACACGGGCGGGCTGAGGCAAAGCACGGCCGTGCCCTCGACCGTGCTTTGGCCAATGATGCCCTTTTAGGCAGATTTCAGCCAAATTGGGAGGGGATTCGAGTTTTAGAGAGACAGAGCGATTCCTAGAGAGAGAAAGCGACGAACAAGAGCCTCCAAGTGCCCTAGATCGATCTTCAACACCATTGGAGCTTGGTTTGAGCTTGGAGAAGTGCCGATTCAACGTCCAGGAGCAGAAATCCATCTTCACAGTATGATTTCCGCATCTGATTCTGCTTTTGCTTCTCTCTCCATGGAGTAGTTCTCCCATTCATCTTGGTGTGGGAAACCCTAGTTCTGTATGTTGAGATTGATTGTATGAACCCAAGTACTGTTTCTATGAATTGATTATATTCGATTGAGGTTTGAATGATTGAATGACTTGAATCCTGATCAAATTCCTGTTGTTTCTGCTTTAACCTAGAATGAGAATATCTGACTAGGTTGATAGAGCATCCTTGATTGAAGGTAGGGAGTTGGTGACTTTAGTCGAGGAACCAACTCACTATTCTGTACCGGTTTTACTCCGGTAGTGGAGGTTTTGTTCTTAGGGCCTCAATCTGTTTACTCCGGTGGAGGTTAGTCGCCCGCTAGAGACTCAGATTGAGAGGGTCTGAAGACCTTTAGTCGAGACTTCAAACTGTTCGAGAACCTTCCGCAGTATAACTATCATAGAAATTGAACTTGGTAATTACAATCCGGCTTAACTGCAGACTAGGGGGAACCATATCCGGGTGACCTCTCTTAACCTGAAAACAACCGTTTTAGTTACTCTGCTTGCTTGTTAGTTTAGAACTTCACTAAAGTTTCATTGCTAGATAATACGAATTCACTGAGTAGTCATCACATCTAGGACCCGGGTTGACATTAAAACCCAAACCCGCTATACTACGCTTTAGGAAGTGGTTACACTTGGCCACTTTCTAGAGTGACAGTAGGAGTGAGTCAATAGGCGATCAGGAACTCCTACTCGTCAAGTTTCATACCCCTGCCGGATGAAGCTTACTGGCCTGTAGACAATGGGAAGTTGATTATCCCACCGTTGCACTTAAAGCACACCAAGGGTCGTCCTAGGTCCGAAAGGATTCACAATGAAATGGATCAATCACAACGTGACCGACGAGGTCCAAAGCGTTGCTCAAAGTGCAGACAACCGGGTCATGACAAGAGGCGTTGCCCAGATCCACCTCTCGAGCAAGATTCGGGGGAAAATCCGAACCAACCTCGAGGCTATTGTATTTAATTTTCATTTCGTTGTAGTGATGTTTAAGTTGGACTTCTTGTTTTAATCTTGTTGAGTGATTGTATTGATGATGGATGTTGTTTATCTTGGTACAATATGTGTGGTAAAATAAAAAACAAGACCAAACTAAATTAAGACGACATAGATAGTTCATTGAAAACAACACAAGACCAAACCAAATTAAGACGACATAGATAGTTCATTGAAAACAACACAAGACCAAACCAAATTAAGACGACATAGATAGTTCATGGAAAACAACACAAGACCAAACCAAATTAAGACGACATAGATAGTTCATGGAAAACGCAAGACATAACTAAACATGGATAGTTCACTGGTTGTCTTCATTTCCTTCCCCATCCCCTTCTCTTCCTCTTTCTCTTCCTCCACGACGTCCTCGGCCCCTTCTTCCGCCTTCTCTGCCTCCTTTTTCACGAGCCCAGTGGATAACTGCTCGCGGATGCCTCTTAAACCGAGCCCCACCGGAGTGTACATAGGTGGTGTAGGTGGAGGTGGCTGAGATGAACCAGAAGCGCGGTAGAAGGTCGATGTTGTAGGTTGTTGTTGCGGGGTCTGATACATCGGAGTCTGTTGCTGATGGTTGAATTGAGGGAACCCATGGGGGAACATGTCAGCTTCCTGAGACGGGGCATAGCTTGACGACCCTCCGGTGCCCTCAGTACTAGTTAACCACTCGCAATGTGGCCATGGTTCAGGAAGTTGTGTTTGTTGAGTCGGACAAAGCTCTTCAATGTTGGGTTGAGCCCTTCTTTTGCTCTTCCGTGGGGGCTCTTGTGGGGGCACGATCCTCTCATTATCACGGAATGAAGGTTGGGCCGGAGCAGGCATTGGAGGGTATAATACGACATCCCTCCTTTGCTCTCGGGTACAGGAGAGCAGGTTGTTGAAAAGCCTCCGCAGAAAAGATGTCTTCCGCTCGTCCATGGTGGGTGCACTCTCGACGGTGTGCTTGGCATGTTCCAAACCGTCAACCTAATAAATTGTGTGTACCAAAATTAACTAAATTAAATCTACAAAAGATTAAGACAAAGAGGGAAAAATGGATTTCACTTACCACTGCGCCCCACACAACACCTTGCTTTGACACCCATCTTAGCGTGAATTTTCGATACCACCGCATGTACCCATCGTGGTACCCCATTAGTCTCGTATCCGGCACCCCTTGGACCACCCACCGATCTCTATTCTCCCAGATATTGATGTAGAATTCATGCTTGCGGACCCAATCCTTTTTGGTGTAGCGTAGGTCGATGGCGTGGAGCTCCCTGAACCCTTGAGACGGGGATGCTGGAATTGGTTGCTCCAATCGATATTGCCTCAAAGATCGATCGGGCAGGTGCCACTCCACGATGTGCCAGCAGATTAAGGGCACCTTGCACAACCATGTCTCTTCATCCTCGGGATGTCTAAGACTATGCAACTCGACCGTATCATTTGTTTATGGATCCCATATCACCTACACTTATTATAGTTCATGGAATTAGTACAAATTATATCCACTCCACCTAAAAAATTTAAAATGATGAAATTTTATATTTTTACCTGGTTCCACCAAGGCTTATCAAATTTAGCACGATAAAACAGTAAAGAGTGCTCGGGCTGGTGGTCGTTTGTATTTGCTCCGATCCACCTAATTAAGCAAAAGTACGTATATAAGATATTTATGGAAGCATCTAAATTGAACTAAAATTGCTTGCTTAGCAATAATCTAAATTCGCTAAATACGATTTGGTTAGAATAAATTTAAATTCGCTTACTTGGAATATATCTAAATTCACTAAAATACTATAATTACATAATTAAAATAAATTAAACTTAAATTAAACTTACTTGAAACCATATGGGGGATTTGCTACAAATTGTAGCTCCTCATTTGGCAATCAGAATTCTCGTGCGTCTCGAGGTTCGAAAAACGGAGGATGCTCCCATGCCCAGAACTGGAGTATGAACATCGCACCACCAGCTTGTTTTGCTCCCAACCTCGAGCAAGTACACAAATCTCGGTAGATCCCAGCCAAGACGGCTGACCCCCAACTCTTTTTCCCGATCTCGTCCCAGTCACTGAGGAGCAACGGGAACCACATGCCTTGTATCCACCGGTTTGCCTTGTCGGGGAACAAAAATCCACCAACCAAGCCAATGAGGTAGACGCGTGCATACCTCTCCACCTGATCTTCAGGAGTGTCTGGGACTAAATTAACCTCCAACTGGATGTGTTCAACAAGCCAGGAGATCGATACTTGCCCTGCATTTAGCGGTGGATGCCCAACCCCTTCGACGGGCGTTGTGGTCGGCAAGTTGAACCCCAAATGCTCTTGAATCAACGACCCCAACCATCTTCCGGTTTTCTCGAGTTGTCAACAATGGCCTCTCCAGTGATCGGGAGCCCGGTGAGGATGGCAACATCTTTGAGGGTGATCGTCATTTCCTCCTCGGGAAAGTGGAAGGTATGCAGCTCGGGGCGCCATCGCTCTGCCATTGCCGTCAGCAAATCGTTGTCGATATCAAGTCTCATGAAGTGCCTCAGCATGTTCAATCCCATCCTCTCTAGATAGGGCGCCAGTCGAGCATGCCAACGGGGCAATCGACATGTCCCTCGATGACTGATGGGAATAAGTGATTCCTACAAAACAAAAAACACAATGTTGTTAGTCAATAGAAAGCAAATTAAAAACTTTTAAACTAATGAAATAATTTTTTTTAAAAACGAGGAGTGTCTACCGGATTATTGTCCCAAATTGCACGGGATCGATGTTGATCTTGCCCGGTTAAATACCTTCGATCCCTTGGGCTAGGATCGATATACAAACAAGGGTCGTATATCTCAGCATCCATCTATAAAAAAATATGAAATCAAATCAAATTATATTTCAGCACCCATTTAAAATAAAAAATCACAAAAGAAAAAATAAATTTACGTACTCTCAGAGCCTCTTCGTCCATTTTTTGTCGAAAAGCTAGAGAGTATCGACGAAAACTCTAGTAATTCTTTCTGATGTGGAAGATCGGACTTAGCCGCAACCACAGAGCATACTTAGAACGAAACTAGAGTGAAGTAATGGAGGGAGAAAGAAGTATAAATGGTGGTGTGGTTTGGAATGAGGGAGGGGGGGGGTGGTATTTATAGGGGAAAAGGGTGCTGGAAATTTGTAATTCCCAATCACCGCCTTCCTAAAAAATAGTGAAGGCACCGCTTTTGACGAGGACGGTGATGGCCCGGATCGCTGACGTGGCGAGCTGTGAGGCGTCAGATCGGGGAGAAAAACCACAATCCGCGCCTCACCGCATCGGATGATAACGATGAAGGGCGCGGACGACAAGGATCGGTGACGTGGACAACGGGGCTATCACCGATTTTGTCATTAACGGTGAAGTGCCTGCACATGTCCACGTCAGCGATCCGCGCCACTTCACCGTTATTGACATCAACGGTTAATGTCGCCTTCATCGTTTTCCTTATCAACGGTCTGAACAACACCGTTTTTTACGAAAGCGGGGATTGTTTCCCCGTTTTTCTCTTCAGCGGTGATAGTATCACTGTTTTAGTCAAATGTGGTGATTCAATCACCGTTTCATTTTACAGCGGTGATGGTATCACTGTTTTAATAAAAAACGGTGATTATTATCACTGTTAATGACGAAGATAGTGATGAACAAACTGCTGTACTTTAGGAAATATCTTTATAAGTACTGTATTTTGGGAATTTTTTTTAATTACTAGAGTATTCTGAGATTTTTTTTCCGATGGAAGGCTCATTTGGCATGATTTCCCCACTTGTCAAAACCAAGGAATCCCTTTCTCCAATGTTGTCTTTGAGAAAAGGCACAACTGGAATCACCATAGGATCACTACAAACATCGTTTCTATTGAGAAACAAAAAACTAAAAAATGGTTAGCAAAAATATTGAAATGAAAAGTTAAAGGAGTAGAACAAAATATATTATTGTTACTAGGACAGGTCCCGGTCCGTTGGCCACAAGAATTTTGTCAATGAATATGGTAGATAATAATGGATATAATAGATGATTTAAAATGCTTGAAATGATTGTTTTCTACCTTAGTTATGCACATAACATTTTTGAAAGTGATCCAATTATGCATAATGTGTTTAGACCTCCATGAAAAGAGAAAAAAATATAATATAAGCATTACATATAATTATGAAATGAAAAAATAAATCAAACAAATTGTCATTCATTACTTAATTAAACCATATAGTTGAATATTAGAGTTGTTTCTCATCATACATACATAATCAACTTTTAGGATGAAATAAAATGTCTCATTGAGTTTAGTATGTTCTTTAAGTTTTTCCCAATAGAGAGCATTCTTTTTTACCACACTGTTGATAATGAATATGAAGTTGCTTGATTTGAAATATATAGGACATGCTGCTAAGTTGTCGCTAATAGTTAATTGGACAATGTGTTGTGTATGGACTTCCCAAATTATTATCAGATCGCAGACACGTCTAGCAACAATGTAGTAGTTTTCATGCGACAAATATTTTTTTCATGAAATAATTCAATAAAAAAACATATGAAAATAATATTACATGAAATATATTTTACTCATAAGTTGATGAATGAGCAAGGGTATGAGTAGCACACATTTATTTTAACAAGATATAAGTTGCTAAGTGTCTTTTGGGTTTCATGAGATCGCATATTCTCATTATCACTAACTGACTTATGCTATTTTGCAATAGATAGTTAAAAATGTGCCTTAAAACTTTTGTTTCCACTAGTGTAAAAGTATTGTTTGAACCAAAGGATTGTAAAATCGTACCGAAAAAGTTGGTAGTAGAGTATTTTATACTGAAGTTATAATTTAACTGTGGTTCAACCGTTTCATATTGCTAAATATCACCGATCGATTTAGCCTATGATGTGAAGTTTTATGGTCTAACCACCGGTACGTACGATCTTTCAATACAAACTTTAAATAAAAAACCACTAAAATTAGGGATGGCAATGGGCCCGTGGGCCATGGGCATCCGCCGGGCCCGCCCGCCAGTGGTGGGCTGCAACCCGCGAAAATAGGCTTGTTGGCAGTGACGGGTAGACGCGCGACCCGCGATCTGCGTTGACGAGCTAGGGACGGATTCAACGATCCCCGCTCCATCTCCTCCCCGATAACAAACGACGTTGTTTTGTACGACATATATAAACGTCGATTTTAGAGTTACAGTTTGGAAATTCATTTTCACCAACACCCCGCCGTCCTCATCCCCGATTTTCTCTCAACTCTATCAAGGCGAATCGCCGATTTCTGCATAAATCTCTTCGATTCCGATAATTTCTCCCCATTTCTCTACGGATTTCCCTAGTAAATTGACGATCCCATCGCCAATAACCCCAAAGCTCTACCTTAATCAAGCCCTCAGTCACCTAAAATGTCTCAATTGACGCAAATCGCCTTCGAATTGTGCATGCATAGGATTTCTTTCCCAGATCGAGATAAGTATTCAATTCTTTCTTTCCTTAATCGATTTTTGCTTAAACGTGTATAAATAGGAGACTCACTTCTTTGTTTTGTTCATCTATAGTTCTTCGAATCCTAATTCCAGAAACCCTAGCCTTCCAGATTTTGGAATCCCATTGGTTGTCTGTCATTCTCAGTAAGTTTAGCATACTTTAGTTCATTTTATGATTTGTTGCGGGTGCTTGCTTAGTCTTTCAGAATAAAAAACACTAATTTTGCCTGCTTCTCTGTTTTTGCAGATTTCTCCTTTCTGTGTTGGAATCTCATCAAGCAGCTGGTACTTAAACTGCAGTCTGCTTAGGTAAGTTGTTGACCCTAGCTTGTTGTTGGTTGTTCATAGCTAAACCTGAATCAGAAACACTAATTTTGTCTGCTTGTGTTTTGCAGATTCTCCTCTCTGTTTAGGAATGTTATCAAGCAACACGTTGAGAATGCACCTGCTAATGATGATGTTGCCCCTCCTCCTTGTAATCTTAATAATCTTGAGGAAGATGTTCTTCCTCAACATCCCTTAGGTGTTAGTAGGTCACTAAAATCTGATATCTGGCCTCATTTCACTAGGATGATGGTTTATGGGGTATTGAAAACTAAATGCAACTATTGTAAGAAGGTGTTGATTGGGAAATCTAGTAATGGTACTTCACATCTTAGGACTCACAGGAACAAATGTGTTCATAAAAAAATTCACGATGGGAGTAAAAAAAGCTCTTGGTGCTAACTATAGTGCCAATGGAACAACTTATATGAATACCAATCAGTTTAGCAGTGAGATGTCTAGAAAGGAGCTCCCCACCATGACCTTGGTGCATGAGTATCCCCTTTCTATTGTTGAGCACCTTTACTTCAAACGGTTTTGTTGAACCTTGAACCCTTGCTTCAAAGTCCCAACCAGAAATACCATAAAGAATGATATAGTCACTATTTTTGGTTTAGAAAGGTCTAAGATTTAAAAGGTCATTGACGAAAACAGAGGTAGGATAGCTGTCACCACCGACATGTGGACTGCCACAAACAAAAAAAAAGGCCTACATGGCTGTGACTGCCACTATATCGACAACTTTTGGAAGCTAAGAAACCATCTTTTAATGTTTGGTTACCTCCCTGCCCCACACACTAGTGAGAGGTTGGATGTAAAGCTAGCTCAATGCCTCCAATCGTGGAACATTGATAGTACATTGTCAATAATTACACTTTGACAATTGTACTACCAATGATTCAATGATCAATCTAGTTAAAAAATGTTGGTTTTGTCTAATCTAATTAGGGATGAGACACTTCTTCATATGAGGTGCTATGTTCACATCCTTAATTTGATTGTGAGGGATGGTCTTGATGTTCGGAAAGATGGAATAGAGCAAATCAGGGAGAGTGTGGTCTTTAGGACATGTACACCTAGGAGGGTGGAGTCTTTCCATGCAACTTTCCAACAACTTAAACTACCTGTTTCAAAGAAATTGGTCTTAGATTGTCCCACTCGGTGGAATTCCACCTACGAGATGTTTTCTGGTGCTATTCCATATAAGGAGGTGTTCTCTATATTGAAAATAAGGGAACCTTAATATGAATCTCTGCCTACCAACGAGCAGTGGGAGTTTGTTGCTGTTTTGGTAGACAAACTTGATGTTTTCAAGGACATAACTATGGTTTTTTCTAGTTCAAACTACCCAACAATGAATCAGTTTTTTCCTAAGTATGTTACTTGAGGTTATGGTTGGTGGAATGGTTACGTGACCCTAATCCGATGATCGTTTCTATGGCTGAGAATATGTGGAATAAATTTGCCAAATATTGGGATGATATTCATTTGTTGTTAGTTGTTGCTATTGTGTTGGATCCACGTTACAAATTGGAAATTGTTGAGTACTATGCTGGTAAATTTGGTGTTACTAGTACCGATCTTGTTTCTGAAAGGGCGAGGTCTGTGCTTGCTGACTTGGTTGTTGAATACCAAAGAAAATCCTCCAAAAAATCGCTTGTTTCTACTAGTTTGCATCCTTGTTCTTCGGCCACTGATATGGATTTTGATCTATATGTGAGCCAAAGAA